GGTATCAATGTTAATTCAAATGCTGATCGTATGTTTTGATTATCCACAAATCTACTGGGGTAGATAAAATGAATGCAGGACTTTATCAAATTAAATTTTGAGCTTTTTATGTCTTTATTGCAGATCTTCATATATGGGTGAGGACTTTAGTCAAAGTAGCCTGTAAACCTGATACATTACATGGTACCTGATACATGCCACAACGCTACAAATAGAAACATGTCTTGTCAGATTTCATTTAGCAAAGTTCTGTGGTTCCTGTTACAATTGTGCGTTTATACCAGACAGTGCCAATATTATTTTTTCTCTGTTGCACACAATATATAACACACAATCAGTATGAAATACTATTCTATAATAATTTTATTCTTTTATATATGTAATAATTAATACATTACTTTATGTAATGATATACAAATTCACCTGGCCAGTTGAACTACTATAATATGACTCCCCCAATTATATGTATAAAACCCAACAAATCCAAGGATTCCCTCTGAGCAAGCACATGGTGACAGTGGAGACACGGTGGCAATTCATTGGGGGATGTTTTTCAATCAGTATTTATTTTATTTTTTTAAAATAAATTATGCTATTCTATAATCTTTTTTTTTTTTATATTTAATAAGTAGTATAACATATAATGATACACAAATCTAAAAAACCCAACAAATCCAAAGATTCCCTTTGAGCAAGCATATGGTGAGAGTGGAGAGGAAAAAAACTCCCTTTTAACAGGAAGAACACTCGAGCAGAACCAGGCTCAGGGAGGGCGGTCATCTGCCTTGACCGGTTGGGGTGAGGGAAAAGGGACTGCACAGAACTATCATCTGTGCCTAAAATGTTGTGGACTTCTTTTTTGATCGTTTTCCCTTTCCCTCTTTTTTAAGCTACCAGGAGCGCTCCCTCCCCCACAATTTTCTTCCTGGCTGAGGTCTTCTAGCGCTTTATCTTTGAATTACATGCGCCTGGACTGTTTTGGACTTCGTTTTTCTACTTCGTCCTCTTCATCATCTTCTCTTCCTCTCTTTTTTGATACACCAGGAGTGCTTTCTTTTTCTTCCTGGCTGACCCCTTCCTGATCTTTATCTTTGGGATTGGACGAGTCTGATTCAGCAACTTCATTCTCTAATCTGACATGTTTGCTGCTCCTATCCTCGATGTCCTCGTCATCTTCCCGCAGTATTTTTCCGGATGAACTTGGAAGAACATCCTGACTGACTTGATGAGGAACTGGAACATCGGCAGCGACAGAATCCTCATCATCTGAGTCGCTGAGAGAGTCTGATTCAGAATCAGTATCATCAAACTCATCCCACCAGCGGAATCGTTTATTTTGATGATCGTCATCTTCCTCCTCTCTCTGCCGACGTCTTGATCCTTCAGGCTGAGGATCGTCAGCTTCTACTTCGAGGATTTCCTCATGGATTACCTCCTCTGCTCCACCAATCACGTCGTACCCAACGTTGTCAATGACATGATGATTGTCAATTTCAACCATGTCAAGGTGCCTATTGGTAAGAATGTCAAACACGTCCCTCAAATTGTCCAACACGGGTTCTTGCACCCCGTCACGAAGTGTCACTCGAAACTCCTCAATAGCTACGTCGGCAATCTCGGGATATACCAACCGAAACATGTTTTCCATTGCAGGCAGGCTGAATGGAATCCATCCACGACGATTGGGAAGCTGATCAGGATTATCCCCTCTACTGTCCATCTTTTTGAGCAGTCCTTTGGTGTCCAATCTCAGTCCTTTCTGGTCTGACAATAATGTTGGCTGGTCCAGTTCTGAGCTGGAAGTTTAGAGGGGGCCTATTAAAGCACTCTGGTGACGTCTTAAGGGATAAATAAGTGACGTCATAAGGGACGTCATGCCACATCTTTTTTTTCTTTTTTTCTTAACGCTTTATTTAACAAGTGCACGTGTACAAAAAACATGGCGGAGGACTAAATAACAGTGACAAAGGCAGGGTCCTCGCCAGCCTCACAATAAACTAATCGGCCCGTTACGCTGCTGCCTAAAAAAATACGCTGCAAATTGGGCCGATACGCTGTTTTCGAGGGTATGTAACCTGAAAATATTTAAGAACAAGCGCCGATGGAGTTTCACTATCGTCTTCGCTGCTAACGCTATTCGCTAGCTTATTCGCCGCTAACCGTTAGCAGCGTTCGCTAAGACCACTCGTCCCCCCCAAATCAGATGTACTGTCAGCACGCATGCGCAAGTGTTTCAAAACGTGCTACCAGTGTCTTGCAGCACAGAAAGCCGCTCGATAAAACGGCTTAAGCTCTACTCGTCCGGTGTCATTATTCATCCACTATACAGCACATAGGCACGAACAGTTGTGACATTAACAATGACTCAACATGTCTCCTGTTTCACTTTAACTCTCTTTGCCATGTGTATGACGCGTGCTGTGTTGCGTCGGTCATGCTTTTCATTTATGTTGCATTGCTAAAGTTGTGCTAACCTAGCATAGTGTTAGCTAACAGCTTTACAGCCAGGAGTTAACTGCAGAAATACAAAATATTTGAGAGTACAGATCAACCGCTCATCACTCCGTCAGCTTGTTATTAATGATATCAGTGTTAATTCAAATGTTAAAGGTTTGTTTTGATTATCTATGAATCTACTAGTGCAGATAAAATGAATGCAGTACTTTTAACATTGGCTGAAAATGAGGATTAAGCGGTGTATAGATAATGGATGGATGGATGGAAATCACAATATGGTGGAAATGGGCTGCTTGGCGGAGGTCTGCGCTCTCCAAGTGCTTTTTTTTTTAGTTCTCTTTAGTTTCTAGTCTTGATGACAGCCAGAGATGCCACAAACTCAGCAGTACATCAAATGAAACTAGATCAGTCTGATGTCACTTACCAGCGACATGTTGCTGTTCTTCAGGTATGACTCCACCCTCCTCCTGCGCTCCTCCTTCTCTCCGTCCACCTCTGATCTCCTCAGGCTCATCCCGTCATGCCAGACGACGGGACGTCCCAGTTCGTCCACCTCCACCTCTCCCGGAGGCCCCCACTTCCCCACCAGGGTGGACTGGCTGCCTCTGTAGATGGGACGCTCCTGCAGGCAGAGAGGGGGGCGACGGTCACAGCACTGACAGCAGCAGTTTGGTATCCTGAAGGATTTATCTAAATATGAGCCTTCTTCCTCTTTCTGAATCAAACACTTAATGGCATTGAGTGTGAAGTAACATTAGGAAAGCTACAGCGGCTCTTCTGTGGGGTTTTTGTATAAATTTGATAACTTTCCTTTGAAAATGGAAATATTCAGCCTGTCCCTTGGACATTTCTTTGTTATTGGATTGTGAAAGCCCTGAAACTAAAGGTCGTCACTGAAATCCATTTTTTGTTGGCTGAGCTTTCCGTAACACAAAAATAATTAAGTTATGAAGTCATTAGTCATCAAACAGACAAAATACCTAAAATAATATCTCTTCAAATTTCAAATACGAGAATCTGCTTCTTTTTTGTTTTTTAAATTTTGCTTGATCAATACAGACAAGTCATTAATTTCAGTTATTTTTGATTACTTTTTTTTTTTCTATAGGTACATAACTTTTCTTGCCTGCCTACTCGCCCCTTGGAAGCCTTTTTAAAAAACTTCTCACATGCTATAATGCATGAATTTGGTGTAAAGTTGACCATTTTCATTTAACATTTTGAAAAATCAGCATGTACTCTGGATGTTTTCTTACTATTACAATGCAAATACCCCAAAACTATAAGTCTCCTCTGAAATCCAGGCTCCAGAATTACTTTAATTATAATGATTGACGAAAATCTTGCCAAACCACATTGGACTGGTCAGCCATTGCATTTATTATCCATGATAGTGGGGCTGCAACTGTGTTTTTTATAATCAAAATCATGACTATGCTCCAAATACATAAATAAGTTTTTGCTGCCCTTGTGCCCCTCTGTGAGCCTTTTAAAAAAGCTTCACAGACTCTCTGATGGATTGATCTGGTAAAAATCTAATCTTTTGCAGTGACAAATAGTAAAACTTAGCGCATACTTTGGGCATTTTATTATTATTAGAATGTAAAAGCCTTGAAATCCAGGCCACTTAATTACTTAAGTTGGTTGACTACAATCTGCCTGATCAAATATCAGAGTTATGTTCCAAATTTATCAAGACATTTCTTTATTTTCTAAAATGTAAAAAAAAAAAGTTTCACAGACACTACGCTGATATTTTTACACTGCTTTTTTTTATCTGATCAACATTTTAAAACACAAAAATATTTATTTTACAGAGAAAATGCTAGCTCAACTCCCTGAATCATAAATTTGGTATACATCCTATAATTTTCTTTTTTTTTTTAAAACGGAAAATTAAGTATACACCTTGGGCATTTTATTATTATTAGAATGTAAAAGCACTGAAACTAAAGGTCTGCTCTGAAATCCAGTCTACTGAACTCGTTTAATTGTTGGCTGACGAAAATCTTCATGATGAAATGTCATGATTATTATAGTTTAGCCACTAATCCAGTTGTTACCAAACGTTTTCTGTTTTGGTTGACTAAAATTAATCTGCATGTTTTCCAAAAATGTTAGAAAATAGTTTCACAACCCCTAAAGCTGATATTTTCATCCTGCATTTTTACCTGGATTAACATTCTGAAACAAAACAAATATTTAATTTACAGCATTAAGCAGAGAAAAGGTTTCAAAGCTTGGTAGAATCTGCTCTTTTTACATTTTTTCCATGACAAATAATTATCTTACATTATTCCTGAATAAATAGCTTGTTTTCTATAGCTTACACATTAATCCACTTTTTCTGCCTCTTTAAACACATTTTAAAAACGCCTCTCATATTCTCTGATGTATGAATTTGGTATTAATTTGACTTTTTTTCAGTTAAAAATGGTTAAATTCAGGATGTTCCCAGAGCATTTCATCATTATTAGAGTGTACAAACCTTGACACTAAAGTCCAGGCGACTGAATTAGAAAGTTGTTTTTTTTTAATGGTTTATGGATTCTTCTCCAAAGTCTGTCATTTTATTCGACATGTCTTTTTGTACTGAATAAATCTTGCTAATCTGAATCACCCAATCAGCCTTGCTAGTATCAGATCACTCTTATTTCTATATTTCACCCTAATTAATCATTAACTCATCCACTCCACATGTTTCCTTCTGTCTGCCTCTTTTGGGAAACTCACCAGAGACATTTGGCTGTTTTTCATCCGGCTGTCTACTCTGAGCAGAGCGTAATCGTCACCCTGGGAAGAAGAGAGGAAAGCGAAAGAATATTAGCAAAGATAATGAATCACTGGGAGTGAGGTATTAATGATACGTGTCTGTGATCGCTGCGTGTTGTTTGTTTGAAGCCGCAGCAGCCTGTAATCATCGGCCTCCGCGGCAGACACCACTGCTGACTTGCCATCGGCTCCACCCGACCGGGCGGGTGTGTCGGCCCGGTTTCTCTCAATCTGCGTGTTATTGTTCTCAGCGGGAGGGTTTCTGTGTGTCTGTACCTGCAGCCTGAAGTCTGTGCTGAGGGAGTTCACTCTCCTGAAGGAGGCCTGTCTGGAGAGGGTTTTAATTTCATCCCTGGGAAAAAAGAAAAAAAAAAAAGACAGCACATTTGAGGGATTTATGGAACAATAGTGTGTCTGCAAATTTCAGAAACAGGTGATTTGTGTAAACAGTTTAACCCTCAGAACCCCGAGCAGATTCTGGGCTTCTTTTTTTCTTTTTTACTTCTGTCATATTTGTTCTCACTGTTCCAATCTATGGAAACAGCAGTAAGCACGACTAGAAGCAGAAAGAGCACAAAAATATGTTTTGAACAGTTTAAAAAGTTAGAATGCCTTAAATCCTAAAAGAAGAAAACATGGAAGTTTAATTTCTTGTTTGTTTATTTTGCAAAAGGAAATTAAAACCTAAAATGTACAACATTTTCCCAGGTTTCCACAGGTGTTACCAACACTGGAAAAATGGTGGCTCTCCATATTATAGATATTTTGCTGATTGCATTTTTGATTTGTTTCCATACTTGTTGCCTATCTGCTCCATTAAACACTGCCTGCAGTTCAGCCGAAAAGTCACAGAACTGCACTATAATGCCTTAAACCATTAAAAAAGAAAACGTGACAGTAAGATTTCTTTGAATATTCATTTTAGAAAACATTTAAAAACCTGGAATTCACATGTGCAACATTTTTCCAGTTGCTCACAGGTGTTCCCAATAAATAGTGGCTCTACACACGAGAGGTTTTTTACTTCTTAAATATTTCTAACACTTGGCTGCTGCTCTGCTCTGTGTGAAGCCTGCAGTTCAGCAGAAAGTCCCTAAATGGTTTTTTGTTTTGTTTTTTTACATGACTGTTGATTGCAGCTAAAGTACTAATTGCTTCTTTGATTCTTTTGACAGATTCTGATTAGTACAGTTTCTGCATTTTTAAAAGCAGAGATTGGTCGAATAAAGTGATCACATATAAACATTTTAAGTTTTCCAATGGAACAGCGTGAATGAGTGAGTAGTTCATGGACCGTCAGAAAAGTTGACAATTCTTTCTATTTTTAAAGATAAACTTTTCTGATTCCTCAGCGGCGAAATTCACACATTACAGCAGCCAGATAGAAAAGGAGACAAGACAAAAAATAATAAATAGAAATCTATAGTAAAGTCTATATCCACTATGTACATTTTTCACATGTTCAGATATAATAAATAAATATGTAGAATTGCACTTACAAAGTTTTAGACAGTAGCCGTGTTATAGTTTTTACAGCTTGTAATGATGATAAATTGCTTCGTTTTGATGTTTTCTGTTTTTTAAGTATCACGTCTTTCAGACCCAGTGTCAAGTTTTAGGGTTCGGAGGGTTGAACACAACCAAAACATGCACACTGAGGCTAATAATACAACTATTTTCCAGTTTTTAACCGACATGGGCTGCTTCAAGAAAATCTAGTTGGACTCACGATTTTTCATTGAGCGCCATCTCAAGCTTTTTGTTTCTGTGTCGGTGGTGGCGGTTGACCAGCAGGACGACGATGACCAGAAGCAAGACGAGAGCTCCGGCCGAGGCTCCGATAATGATCAGCAGCAGGTTATCAGGAGGAAAGTCAGACTTGCGTTGAGAAGTCGCTAAAAAAAAAAAAAAATAGGAAGAAGACATGTGAGTCTCACAGGAGAAAATCATCTTTCATGCAGCAGTTTTCCAACCTGAGTCCAACCTCAGGTGTTCCTGCCTTCAATCCACCACAAGGGGGCAGCATATTTGCATAATTACTCCAAAGGCAAAAGGAGAGTTTAGCATTTTGCTTTTTTCAAACTTAGCTTCTCTCTTGATTCTTACTATCCATCTTCTCATTTGCTTCTTCTAAAATTCTAACAGAACATACAATAGCAGCACAGTTTCTGACTCTAATCCAAAGCAATTTAACTTATAGTAAAGTTTTGTTGCACTGACCTGCTACTGTCAGCATGTACTCTGTTCTTCCCACTCCAACAATGTTCTGGGCCACACACTCATAGACCCCACTGTCATTCATGCGAAGGGCTCGTCTGAAAACGAGTTTTTCTCCGACCGTGGACACCCCATCTGGTAGCGCTCCTCCTTTCCTGTGAAAAATCAAAAGAAAAATTCATCATTTTGCAGAGATGTCCCAAAGTGCTGACCCTCACAGAAACCTATGATTCATTACTTGAAACAATGGCCGTGACTCATTTAGGAGCAAAGTGCAAACCTTTGTTCACGTTACGAGAAGGAAACACAAACAACTAATAGCATCTGCTCTTACGCAACAGCAGAAAATGCAACAACTGGTTTGCATGACGGAAGTAATGCTAACCAACCACCACCACAGGATCAGGTTCGCCGCAAAGTGCAACCACCAATTTGCACATGCACCTGAGCCAAAACCTGCTGGGCTTACAGCGAGTGCCCATTGATCTGAATAGACCAAATAAATAGTAGGTTTGGGGGATTTAAGCAAGGCCGGCTACAGAGTCCCACACTGTGCAGCTGAACACATCACAGGCCACATAATGGAGAGCCGGTTTCTGATCGGGTCCACTGAGAGGGGTCATGTTGCCCTTCTGGTTTCACTGTGCTGCAGCAGCTATTTAACTGCTGCCTCACAGCCCCCAAACTGGAGCCGGCTCAGATTTCCGTTCTCAAAACCCCGCCTAGCTCCTCTGACCAGCCTTTTATAATCCAGTCGCAGGTGGAGATTGCATCTGACACGGAGGAGATGGTAGAAAATGATAGAGATAAAGTGAGTAATCCACCTTCAGCAGCCAGAAAGATTCTAATCTGGGGCGTGGAGCTGATTAAATCTGTGGGAGTGAATCATCACAATATTAAAGAGGGAAATAGTTTATTGTTTTGCAGTTAGGGAAACTAAGTAGTTCTATATGTTGACCTCTGAATAAAAGAACATTTTGCATGTTATTCTTGCTGAGAGTAAGACGACAAGACTGGTGCACTGTGACATCCACCCATAAATGTGAAGCTGGAAACAGCAGACGGTTAGTTTAGGATAAAGACTGAACACAGGAGGAAACAACTGGTCTGAATATCACCTAAAGTAAAAGCTGAGTTCACTAATTGACACAAATAGTGATATGAGTTCAAATAATACAAGATGATGGTCAGAGCAGCTCCTGTCCATCACAATGCATCACAATGTTCTGCTTTCTGTTTCTTTTTAACCTCTGAGCTGAGTGATGGTCCATAACTCAGGATTTATGCCGGCATAATTGTATTTATTATTTTTGAACTTCAAATCGTCCATTAATCTTTATTTAAACTTAGAACGTAACACTGACATGAGTCCATAAACGATATGTTTGGATATGTTCTTACACATACTATTCTTTTCTGCTAAATGCTAAATTTCATATTTGTTTGTTCCTTTTTGTACTTTTTAAATGTCTGACTGTGTTAATGTACTGACACGATTGCTGCTTCAATTCATTTTACCCTCTGCAATGACAATAAAGGAATTACTTTCTATTCTATTCACAGCAGACTATAATGCTTACAGATTCCCATTAAAGTTTATTTTCTTTGGATACGTTATAGGCTTAGTGCTTAAAGAAAAACAGAGTTTTTTGATATAATAGAGAAACATAGATAAAAGGTGAAGATGGGCCCTCTGTGCAACCCCAAATGCCTGACTTCAATTTATGGTCGAAGAGAATAGATCTTTATTGTCATTGTAAATGTTGTAGAGCAACTGAAGGCTGCTTAGCTGCTCTTGGAATTGGCAGCATCAATAAAAGAACACAAGAGGGGAAAAAAATCTAAAAAAAACAATTGCACTGTAGCAACACCTGTATGTGTTGAGCCTTAACTTACATTTTTTAATTAGTCAGGCAGCTTGTAAGGCTAAAACTGAAAGTTCCCAACCTCATTGTCTTTGTTAATATGTATGATATACAATTTAAATTAGTCAGGTAAGTTTGCAAACTATAAAACACTGTAGCGTCTTAACCTTAACATTTAATTTCATCAGGTGCATTTACATTTCATATTATAGTGCAGAGTTTAAACTGCAATATGTAGGATCTTAAGCTTATTATGTAAACTTGTTAATTCCTGACACCAGTCTTATTGCTCTACTGGAAAGCAGTTTGGCTCGATGCCGGTTGTTTTAAATGTTCTATAGAAGTAAAAGGTGACTTGACTTGAACACGAATGACTTGTTTAACTACATTACCTCTACCCACATCCTTCGTGTGTCATGTCTTGGGAACAAATATCTCAAGACAAGAACAAAGTAAGACATGGGGATTTGTGAAAAGGCTGCAGGAACACTAAGTGATCTTCAGAAATTGTGGCATTCTTTTAAAGCTGCTGCATGTGCATTACTTTATGCACAATTTCCTTAAAAAGCTGCATGTTTGGTGACTTGGAAACTCGTATACTTTCAAGAAACAGTTTTGGGAAACACAACAATTGTTATATTCATGAGAGAGTTACACAAGACAACAGAAAGACTGAAAAAAAAGGGGGTTGATGTGACTCTTACCTCTCAAAGTGATAAAAAAATGTCATGGTTTGTGTTTAATTTATGTAAAAATCAATTAATAAAAACAACAAGATGTAGTTTTATGTGGGGTCACTTCTTTAGTCAGTCGTCACATATATAACGTCAACCTAAAACTACGTATTTTTGTTTAATATATTGATTTTATTGCAGATTAAACAACAGATTTGATTGTGTTAATTCACCTTTAGAAAGAGTAGCTTTTATTAGCTTTATATTTAAGGCTGTATTTATCTTAGCAACTCTCAAAAAAATGTATGTCCCAAATTGTTGACCCACTTTTGACACCAAAACCTAAAACAAGCCTCTCGGGCTGTGCGTGTCTCCACAGCGGGTCTCCACCAAACGTATGCATCAAAGGATCTGCGAGGGTGAAAAGGTTTAATCCAAAATAATTTTACTATTTAAAGATTGTCTCATGGCTGAAATATGTTTCACTCAGCACACAAGCATTGGATCATTGTGTGCACAGGCATATATCTGTAATGGCTGGTGCAGCGTCTCTAATTAAAGCGCAGACCCTGTGTTTTAGCAGGCATTAGAGTGATATTTAAAGCATGGCACTATGATTTAGTGCTTAACATGTGTCTCCTGCTCTTCCTCGCGTCCCTCCCTCGTGTGAACATATCGCCCTCCCTCTTTTTTTCCACCAACTTCAGATTTCGAAACGAGACACCGAAGCTTTTATTCTGCTGTGAATTGAGGAAAGAAAGACGCCTCCCCCTGTTTTTTTTAGATTCAAACACACTTCTTTGTTGTTTGCGGGTGTGTGTAGCCCATGTGTATGTGCGTTTGTGGTGGCTCTGCTCTATTTTGAGTCACATTCCGATGCCATGTAAAGAGCAGTTTAGATAGTATTACAGTGGGCTGAATGAACGTGTAATTGTCACCGTCTTCCCGGCAGCCACACAGAGATAAACTTTACACAGATGTATGAGCAGCAGAAAAAGTACCATGTCCAGGAGATGTTGTGAGGTTTGGGGTATCCGCCGCCTTCACACGAGAGCTCAGCTTTCTCCAAACCTGCATACCACTGGCCTGAGGACGGGGTGATGCTGGCATCTGGGGGGTCTGACACAGAAACACACATACGTAAGCGTGCAACAACGCAACCAAATACTGAGCAGGAGAGCACAGAAAGAAAGATCTAAATACACATGTTCACACCACAAACACACCAGATGAAGATGTTTTCGTCTTATTTAACTCGTCTACAAAGACAAAGCTGCATGAAAATCACTTTTTGCGACAGTACTACCTCATATTCACACTGATGAAGTCTACAGAAGTGGGAAAAAGTAGTTTTGCAAGTCACTGTGTGCCAAACTGTGAGTCGGTGTGTAGCTTTTATAGTATGTTTACACTGCTGCAACATGAACGCATTCAAATGTGTTATAAATATTTTGTACATTCATAATACTCTGTACAATACACATTTTTTTAGGAATCTGTGCAATATCAGTGTTTTTCTACATATAAAAGAACCCTATGTAATATTGTTACGTTCTGCCTTCAAAGGAATCTGTGCACATCTGAATGTCTATAGATAAAAAAAATCTGTACAATATAAACAAAACTTAGTTTATCCATCCATCCATCCATCCATTATCTATACACCGCTTAATCCTCACGTCATGGGGGGCTGGAGTCTATCCCAGCTGACTCAGGGTGAAGGCAGGTTCACCTGGACAGGTAACCAGTCTATCACAGGGCCACACTTAGAGACAGACAACCAAGCACACTCACATTCACACCTACGGACAATTTAGAATCACCAATTAACGTCAACATGTTTTTGGACTGTGGGAGGAAGCCGGAGAACCCGGAGAGAACCCACGCTGAACGGGGAGAACATGCAAACTCCACACAGAAAGATTCCGGTGCCCCCGGCAACCTTCTTGCTGTGAGGAAACAGTGCTACCAACTGCGCCACCCTGCAGCCCAACTTAGTTTATTCCTTGTTTATTTTTTCCAGTATTTTTTTTATTTTTCTATGGCTGTCCCTACCTTTTTGCATTTTATCCCATTTGCTGCTGTAGATTTCCCAACTGTGGGATTAATAAAGGGTTATCGTATGGGATCGTATGGGATCGTATCTAATCATATTTTATTTCATTGCATCGTATTGTATCAGATGTTTTGGCATCTTATCGTATCAGATCTTATCGTATCTTATCGTATCAGATCTTATCATATCTTATCGTATCGTACTCATGTTATAGCATCTTATCATATCATATCGTATCATATCATGTCTTATCTCATGTTATCGTGTCTCACTGTATTTTACTGTAGCCTGCCTCATCGTATCCTATGTTATCATATTGTAACTTATCTTATCGTATCTTGTGTAATTGTATCTTATTGTATTTTATCGTATCATATCTTATTGTATCTTATGCTATCCTATCATATCGTATGGTATCATAACTTTTCTTATGTCATCATATCGTATGTTTTCGTTTTGCATCGTATCGTATCTTAGCATATCATATCTTATGTTATCATATCATATGCAGTTTTATCATATATTATTGTCTGTTTATTACTCCCAAACAAACTTGGTTTGATTTGACAGCAAACTGATTCTCCTCTGTTTCTGTGCAGCACATTATTCCAGCGACACATTTACGATTTTCAGTAATTACTGAGTGACGTGTTTGGTAAGTTTCTGACAACTGACGACAATGACAATCATTACAATCCGAGCTGTCATCTTTTGCATCTTTTCCTCCTCCTTGCAAAATGTACAGCCTCTAAGTATCTGCAGCAACATCTGTTCATTCCACACCGAGAGCTTCGTGACTTCAGGAATCATTTGCCTGTCAATCCAACAGACATCAAAATTATGACTCAGGTGGAAGTCATGTGACTCCAGTCCCACACCTTTTCAGTGAACTGTACATTGAAACAAAGCGCGATTGTTGAGCAGTGAAAGAATGAAAGTTACTTTCGGTCAGCGTCAAGGACAGAGTATTAATCAAACACTTTCCCAGCTCCGGATCTGCCAATATTGCTTAATGTTTAGCTTCTCTCACACATTTATTCTCACCGACAGACAGTTAAACCATAAAAGTGTAATTTGCTGGGAAACTAGAAGATAAAATCTCATCGGTTGATCTAACCTTTGATGGGAAAAGCCTAAAAAAACCTACTGCACACTAGCGTTTACAAAAGAAAATCGAGATTTTTGGTTTCACTGTCACATAACGACACAAAGAGAGGAAATGCAAGTGGTAGTAAAAAACAAAAACTAATTTAAAACAGTGGCAGGACTGTTTGGAAAAGAGTTGAGAAGAGTATATTAAATATGTAGAAAGCTTTATCGTCTCATAAGGGAAGTTTAATTCACAGTGGCATTCTAAGTTGACTTCTTGAATAAAATAAATACGATTAATCTAGAGTATACACGGTACAAAATGAGTCAGCTTGTGACATACCGACACCAAGTTATCTAGGTTAAGTTATTAAAGTCCAAACTACCTCTGGATTATCTGGATAAGCCAGGAAGCCACTAGCATTACATCGTTATGAACACAGTCACTATAAAGACCATTGTCCTTCGCATTGTGGCCCGTGTGTTGACCCGAACACGCCCCGTTTCGCTGCAGATGTTGTGACACTGCTGCTGTAAAAACATGGGCGTCGCTATTCTTAATAGTTAATAACAGTTGCATTCCGCTGAGGTTTTCCTGTTCGGAGCTCTGCTGATATAAATACTAACTCAGTGGCATCACTTCCTCACAAACACACCTTGGCAAAACAGAGTGATGGTTGTTGTTGGCTACAGTTGTGCTATTCCTGCTATGAGAATCAAAAGCTTCCGCAGCTGCATGTTGTGGGATGGTCACCGGAAATAAGGAGTTCAGATCAGATGTGGGGGAAAAAGCGAGCACAGATCAATAAAAATATGTCAGAAAACAATGATTTGTCTGAATTTGTTTGCAGTTATAAGGGCTCCTCCCACAGCTCCTACAGTATTGGCAGAATATTAAGGTACTATTTGGTGACTCGACATCAAGTTTAATTTTAATATTAAACAGTGAAGGCAAAGAATTAAAGAGGATCTTAGCAAAGCTTCATCTGAAAGGAGGAAAATGGGAGCTACTAGTACAGTATACACCAGATCCAGGAGTAAAAAGCATCTGGTTTTATTTTCTGTTGATGACTAAGAACCAGCTGTGTCTCAGTTTTGTTGCAATTTCGCTGCACGTTTTGTAATCTGCTGAAACAAAAAGCCGGATTCTCTGAGCAGCGATGTACGCTATCGTCCCACAGTGCAAGGAAATGGAGGAGCAAAGCTGCAAAAACACTGAAACAAACTCTGGACGGTGGTGAAACAGCTAATTGAAGCATTTAGTCGGTCGAAAAACAGTTCGTTTTCTATTTTGCCAAGTTTTTTAAACATTTGAAAGTCAGTGTCAGTTCATAGGTGTGTTGCATGTTTCCTGTAAGTAAAAAATGTTGAGGTGTACTAACGTCTTGTATAACAACTGCAAGACATTACATTGTGACTTCAGTATAGTAAAGAGTGCACAGCTTGGCATTAGGACACATTGTGGGGGAAAAAGGTGTAGTTCTCCTTTGTTTCCAGGTAATACGTTGAACTCTGACACACAGTGCATCCTTGATTCCTCATACTGAGTTTCACTGCGCCAGAAATATTATTTCTCAAGTTAAACCAGCTCTACCTTCAAGAAAACCAAAGCTCCAGTCTCCTTTCCATCATCTCCATCATCTCTCCATCACACAGCGCCATTATCAGCTCTACTCACACTGGACCACCAGACGGTTGGAGATCCTCCGTGGCTGCTCCAGGCTGGGATGCGACACCAAACAGTCCAGCTTCTTCCCGTTCATGCTGCGCAGCGGGTGGAGGGAGTAGTAGCTGGACACGGAGCCGCCCTCGCTGGTTCGGTCCTGATGCTGTCCCGGCAGGTCGGTGTCCCAGGACAGACGGGGAACCGGTCGACCCACGGCCCGGCAGGAGGCGACCACGCGGTACGACTGGCCCTCCACCAGGATCACCGGGTCGAGGGAGGAGATGGGTAGAACTAAGAGAAGAAGAGGAACAAGGGGAGTTGAGGAGATGTGGTTCAAGATTGACGAGATTGAACGAACAAGAAGACATGATAGAAAAACATTCCTTCAAAAAAAGAAAACGTATTAATTAATGAGGAGTAAAGACAATGTGAATGTCGGGTGTATTTTGTTATACATAAGAGCTTAATATGCTGTATTTGCATTGATCCATTATGCTGCTGCTTTTACGGATTCAGCCATGATTTTGATTTAGAGCTGAAGTCAGAGTTTCATTTGTTCACAGATTCTTTGAAGTAAATAGTTGATTTAAAAAAAAAAAAAAAACCCTTTCAGAAGAGTTTATTTAAAGTTATTTTTATTTTTCCAGTTGCAATACGTCCTCTTTGTTTTATTTGACGAGCTGCATCTTTCTAGAGGTTATAATAACCCTGACTGTTGTATCTCCACATGTATTTTGAAGGAGTACCATGACTTTTCACACATATGTTCATGGGGCCCAGACTGATGACATTTATGGTTTTTAGCTAAATGGAAACAAACGCAGCACATTTTAAAGACATACATTCTGAGTAAACGTCATTTGGTCGACAAAATGTCAAGAACTGGCAACTTCCATCGGCCAAAGTTGGTGAGAATGACATAAAATTTGGTTTTGTGATCTCAGACAATGAACCGTTCTCGTACTTTTCATCTAGCGCCCCCTACAGGGTGACATTTTTGGCTTTTGGTAGGGATGCACAATGTGAAATGAAATATTGGCATCCACTCCAAAAGAAGCTTAAAAGTCTACATATTCTACATGGAAGTTAAAGCAGTTTTCCTGTTTGGCCCAGTAAATCTGTACATCTGTAATTCCCCTACAAGATAATATGATCCCGAAATGTTTTTGTTTAAGTGTCACCACTTGAACCTTGCACAGAATTCTTCACAATGTACAGAAGCAGGATGGGAATTCATGCATTTTCTACCAAACTTTATCGAGTTCCCGGTCATTTAGAACGAGACTTGTGTACGCAAATGTCACCTTTGATGTTTTTCACATCGTTTGTCTTTCTGGCACCAACTGGTTCAACACGGTCGTGATTCACGCCTGAGTCACGTCTGTCGTAAACAGTAAGCGTCTGATTAAGTCTTTCCGCTGGCGTTTGGATTATTAATGCAGAAGACAAAACACGTAGTTAGTAACAACAGCTATTAGGGATTAACAGACAAAGCGAAGGGCAGCACCTGTAGAAAAGTCCAACTTTAGAAGCAGAGACACCAAAACAACATGACATCACAGTGCTGCTGCCCTGCAGGCAAAATGTGCTGCACTCACAAGCACAAGTTAAATAATCATTTTATGTAATAATTAAAGAGTTCTCAGCGAGATTAAAGAATTTTCTTGGGGATTAATAAGTTTTATCGTGTTTTAGCTCATCTCAACTGATTTTATCTTATCTCATCGCACCATCTCATTTCATCTCATCACATCTTGTCCCATTTTATCTCTTCTTATCTAATCTCATCGTATCTCATCTCAGCCAATCTAATTGTAACTCATCTTATTTCATTTCATCTCATCGTATCTTCTCATAATTTATCTGATTCTATCATCTCATCCCATTTCTTTTCATCATATCTTATCTCATTTGATCTAATCTCATCTTATCTTGTCCCATTTTATGTCAACTTATTTAATCTTATCTCATGTTATCTCATTTCATCTTATCTCATGTCTTATCTTTTCCTTAGTTATCCTAATTCCTTCTTTCTTCTAATAAATAAAATACATTCATTCACAGCCAAACAAGCCCAAAAGAAATCTGTGAACTGGCCAGAAAGAGGTGGACATAAAACATTTTAGTATCAGTAAATGCACACTTTATTATGAAGAGGAATTTAAGGGAAGTCATTCTAGTGATGACGTGTTTGCCTAATTCAAATTTTCGCCCCGTTTTTTTTTTTTTACAGTTTCACATTAATTTATGCGTTAAACTCTGAAAATGATCTTCCAATGGTCCACAATCCAGATGTGAGAAGCTGTAAATCGTTAAACCTGTTCATACACCCGTTTGGGTTACCTTTAGTCACAAAAATTATTTTATTTTAATTTACAGTTAACACACTCCTGAAAAGACAAGATTAGAATTTATCTTGTTTTTAGTAAAGATTGAAAGACTAAATGTGATTTAAAGTAGGTAAAAAGAAATAATAATTTAGGAGCTTATGTAGAATTTCTCGTTTTTTGTTCGGTATCAAACCTGCATAGACAGGTGACCTCCTGTCCATATGTACACACATAAAAACCATCATAGCATTACTTCTATATGTGTTGCTGACTTGGTTTTCTGTTGTTTGATCCTATGGTTGGTTGTCTGCTGTCTTCTGGATTCACGACTTTGTTTCTGACGTATATTAGAGGTGAGATCTTTTCTCGAAGCCTCGAGGGTGTTTTTTTTTTTAATCTCACCTACGCAACTTGTGCTCCTTTGTTTTGTTGGTTGAATGAATAAAATAAAAGTATGGATTATGCAAATCCACATTTTGAATGTTCAAAGGGGATCCAGTGCTGGAGGTTGTCGGTTGCTGCTGTGTGTATTTCTGTTGGGTTGTCTGATCGGTGGCGTGTTCAAACAGGCCTGCGACTAAACTGTCACTGCTAATGACTTGCGGCTAAATGAGAAAGTTGGTTGGAATTGATAGCATCATTCCTGGTTTTACTACACGAAAGGATCCTTCCCACGGCTGCTGTGATTCCACCGAGGTTATTTCAGTGTAATCTGCTCAGGAACTGATAAAGAGGGAGGTCGAAGGTGCTACTTTAGATGCTCCAGTGACAATGACTGCACAGTACAACCTATTATCTCCTCAAAGCGTTTTCTTTGAAGTCATTTGAAAAGGCGAGTTTCGGTATGGTGTAGATTTGTGAGTTGTCTCCAGTGAAAACCTGCTTGTTTCATGTTGACCATACAGGTTAATGATCTATACCATTTATATCAAGAGTTAGTGTGGGCCACCTTTTTCTAGACGTTTTTTTTTTTTAAGAAACAAAATCAGCCTTGGAAATAGGTGACATTTTAAGACAACACACACACTTTGAGACATCTGGAAATTCCAGATCTACTTGGCACGACTTCATGATATCGTCTCTGAAGCTCAATCCTCAAACGTTGCAGCTTCTGCTTAATACTGCAATTTTACACTGACTGCAGTCCTCCTGTGTGGCTCCTCTTCCTGTTGCGTTTTCTTTTGGAGAGGAGGTATCGGGGAAATTTAAGGACAAAAAGTGTAAGACTCTTTCACGCATTCTTGTGATTTGGGGATTTATATATATAAAACTGACTTGACCTGACTTGACTTATCACACGCTCCATCAAATCCTGTGGTTCAAACCTGCTTATCTTTTATCACAGAACACCTACTGCGCCTTGTTTGGACACCAAATCAGCCCACTAATGTTTTTACAGGTGAGCTCCTGTGTAACCGCTGTACAGGTCGATTCTGAGGTGTTTTCTTGCTTTTTGAGACCTGCATTTTTTTTGCGTTTCTCACTTGTAGTAACGGAAAAAATAAATTCACATTTCACCCACTAAAATTTAAAATATGCTTTTGGGGTTTGTGGCCACGTTGGCAAACCGACTGAATTTCCCCGGTTACAAGCTCTTCTTCTTTTTCTGTGAAGATGATTATGGTTTAAACATCATTACAGCAGCTCTAACAGGATTAGGCAGGTGTGTGGGAGAGAAAGAAGGGAAGAGGAGGACGATTCTTACTCCACACAGTGAGCGTGATGTGTCTCTCAAAGTTTCCGTTGGGGAAGGTGGAGATGTGGCAGGTGTAGCTGCCCTCGTCTGACTCCTCGGTGTTGGGGATCAGCAGAGCGGAGTTCAGCGTCGGGCTGCTGCTCTCGAACCTCACCCGGCCGGAGTAACGTCCAAACTCTGATGAAACAAAAACTTCAGCTGAGCACCTTCAGCTTTAACGGAGACAAAAAATACATTTAACTACTTAGTCGAAAGCGTTAATGCCAAGAAAGGAAAATAAATGGTTAGACATTGTCAAAATAAACCTACATTTGTTAATCAAGGTACGAAACGAGAGTCTCCTGACGTGATCTCTGTTCAAATCACACTGTGGAAGGAAATTATTAACTTAAGGAAATTATTAACTTAAGTAAAAGCCCTATACTAATATGAAACTGCACTAAAAGAGAAAATAGTTGTGAAAAAATCTGTTTAAATAAAAGTAAAAACCAACTTATTTAACATTTGCTTCAGGGAACAGTTGCTGATTCCCTTTTTTTTTTTTTTAAACTGTGTGGTTGATGAGGGCACATACAGTCGTCCTGAAATGTATTCAGACCCTTTTATTAAAGAAAAGGCAAAATTCACAATAGTCCATCAAATAACTAGAAACTGAAAAAAGTAATAATAAATTAAAATTTGCTAAATTATAATTTAGTGAAATAAGACATTGCTTTTGAATTGTGGTTAAAAAGAATAATTTTTAAAAAAAACTGTGCCGGACAAATTAGAGCACTTTGCTGATGAGCAGTGGACCAAAATCCAAACACCTGTCAACAGGTGCAGAAGTCTGATGGAGAGTTACAGATGTTACACCTGATTGGCTCAAAGGGTTGTTCGACTAAATATTAAGTTTACGGGTCCCATCATGCTTGTTTGCTTTTTTTTTTTTTTCTATTTCTGTTGAACCACAATTCAAAAGCAATGTCATGATTTTCATCCTTTTTTAAAATTTATTATTACTTTTGTCAATTCCAACTTATTTCAGTGACAGCTGAATACATTTGAGGACGACTGTATGTTGTTCTGTACTGAGCAACAATAGAGCAGCACCTCACCTGACAGCCATGCTGATGGTTGTTGTCTTATTTTTTTGCACCATGTCAACTTCAGAATAGAAAGTTAACTCACCCACTAAGCCACTGTTATAACAGGTAGGATTTGGTCGTATTAAAAGCATTTATATTCCTGCACAGCACAACTTCCATCAGCATTAACCAGCCAGAATGTCTCTGTATAGATGCAACTTAAGCTTAAGTCAGCAAAACAAACATCTACTAGACCACCAGGTTTGCACATACACTAAACATCTGCCATCAATACAGCGTGAACCAGCATCAGCAAAGCTACTGGCTGTTGTCATGGATAAATTCACTGGCTACAGTTAATTAACCTACATGCACATGCTAGTGTAGGTAGGTTACACTGCATATTGAAGCTGACGCCTTTCTTTGACTTAAAGTTGAATCTGATGATTTGATGATTGACTGATTAGGAATGCATTTGGGTCTAGTGTTTCCTTTACTTTAAAAAAAAAAATATTTTGGCACTTCACTGTAACTGCATGTCACGCTATGAGCGACTGACTTTCCGTCTGGGCGTCCAAGATCATATCATTTCACACCCACACGTACAAAAATAATAATTTGGTTTCATTTTCTCTCATGTAGTTATCTTCTCAAAGTGTAAAAATGCTCTGAACTTACATTTTAATCCAACATAAATAGTTAAAGTTGGTGTTAAGGAAGTCGGTTCTCTCATGTGAGTTTTAAATAATAAATAAGGAAGAACTAAAACTGTTTTATTTAATTTATCTTTAGGGAAATGAATCTGACAGAATCAATGAAACAACCTGTTACATCCAGCTTGGTTCAACATATCAGAAGCCGAATCTGATTTCTTGTCATGAACGCAGTGACTGTTGTTTGATTTAGTGTTGCTAAGCTATCTAAAATATGTGCAGCAGTAGTTTTAGAGTTACAGTTTTTGAATAGTCGCAACTATTCATGAAGTGGTACTCTACAGACACCCTGACTGCAGTGGCCAGTCTGGTCAAAAAGGGTCATACAGTGTGTGATGTGTTCACTCCGTAAAACTAGAAGAGGAGGTGCAATAAATTCAAAAAAATAATAATTCAAAAGTCAGCCTTTCTTAAATATAAAGCTGAGCACATCATACACATTGCCTTTATTCTCCTGCATCTCTGAGCTGCAGTCCATCAGTTCTTAAGGAGAAACCACTGTATATAACATTAACAAGAACATTTTATGTGCTCATGAAACACTTAAAGTGTTAAAATGGGAACGGCTAAAAGATTGGTTAATGTTATTAGTGACACCTGGTTGTTTCCTGCTACAGCACTTCAAAATATCTGCTGTTGAAAAGGTCATAAGTGCACATTAAAACACACAGCGTCAGCCTCACAATATGTTTTATCAGTCTTTGACTAAAAATTCTTTTGCAAAACACTTTCATAAAAATACCTAAAATATCTGTCTCAATAGGATTTAGATTGCATGCATAGTTGGGGTGTATAGTTTATTGTAACCGAGCAGTCACTTAATGCATATTTGGAATTGTTATGCACTTTACTGCAGTTGGAATCCCATAATATAATAAGAGTGCAGGTATGCTCGGCATTTACAGTCATAAAGGCTCTTTAAACACTATTTTTAATGACTTACTGTTTCATTTCTACTTAAGCGTAGTTAAAGGAGCACTTGCGTCTAAAGCACCATGAGTTCAGCGTTGATTCCTCGTTGAAAACTGGACGATATCCAACCTCTCTTCACCATCCTACCAACCAACAACCCAAAAGATACTTATAACATCATAAACGTGCCACAAAACACCAATTTTGCTTCCCAGGTTGTAGGCTGAACCTGTTCTGAACGTCACAACCGACACTAACAGTCCTGATGAGGAGCAGAACACTTTATTGTTTACTGGCCATAAGGTTGATGTTATATCGCCTGAGGTACAGTTCCTAAACAAAGGCCCGGTGAGTGTCCATGCAACCCAAGCATGCAGCAGATGGTTATTTTGCTCGTGAAAATGAATGCTTGCACCCGGTGTCATATCCAAAGAGTGCAGCAACTGTATTATCTGGTGGAGAAATCAGCACTTGAGTTGACTGGGAGTGTCAGACACATACAGCTACTATGAAAAGGAATCCCCACAATGGAAGTTTGTCCTCTTTAATGCTTTTCAACACTGAATAATAGTCAATATAATTTGCTTTTTTTGATAAGAACATCTATGAAAAAAAGAGTCTTTCATGTCAAAGTGAAAAAACGTTTTTTACAAAGTAATGTCAATTCATTCAAAAACAGAAAATAGTATTTACTCCCTTTAAAGTGGCTCACCTAATTCAGCAACCATGCAGCAAATTGGTGCTAGAAGTTTCACAGTTGGTGAAATGATGATCACCTGAGTGCAGTGAATGTGTCTGACGTGATTGTAGCATAAAGATACCTGCATCTGGAAACTGCAACTACTGGTAAATCAGTACTCCAGATTATATCTACAATATGAAGACAAAGGAGCCCTCCAGGTAGCTCTGTGAAGGGTTATTGAAAAGCATCAGTCAGGGGATGATACAAAAAAACCTCCCTGAAAGTGCAGTAAATCTATCATTAAGGAATATGACACCTGTGTAAATCCACCTAAAGCAGGAAGTCCTCAAAACTGAGTGACTGTGCATGAAAGAGACTAGTGAGGGCAGCACTACGTAGAAATCTATGTTCACTTTGACACAAAAGAGTCTTTTTTGATCTTGTTAAAAAAAAAAAGAAAAAAAATCTATACCAAATTCACCATGATTCAGCGTTTAAGGAGCAATAAAGGAGAAAACCAGTTTGGAAATGGATGTCACTTCACTGATCTACCTGTGTGGCCGTCCGTGAAGTGGCCTGTGATGATCTGGTCCTTGCTGCCGTCTGGAAGCTCCTTGTACCAGGTGACTTGCACCACCCTCTCCCCTTCCTCCTCCTGGTAGTGACAGGGGAGCCTGGTCTGACCCTCTGCCGGGAAAACCAGCGAGGTGTCGGGCTCAGGAGGCTCCACAAAGTCCCCCTGAACAGACAGCACTGAACAGAAACAGAAAGGACTTCATGAGTAACAGAAAAGGGAATAAATGTCGGGAGTGGCTGAACTATTACATTTAATTTTGGGTTATTTATCAAGATTTCTCTACAGCAGTTTAGGCTTCTTTAGCCGCTGGTCAGAGAAGTAAAAAAACCTTAAGATACATTAATTTGGTGTGGAATAATCACTGCTATTATGACATTTTGTGCACCAAATCACGCTTATACACTGTAAACGTGTTTTTGAACTGTAGTCGAAGTCAAATTAATCTCAATTTTAACATCCATCCATCCATTATCTATACACTGCTTAATCCTCACTAGGGTCACGGGGGGCTGGAGTCTATCCCAGCTGACTTAGGGTGAAGGCAGGTTTACCTGGACAGGTAACCAGTCTATCACAGGGCTACACTTAGAGACAGACAACCAAGCACACTCACATTCACACCTACGGACAATTTAGAATCACCAATTAACCTCAACATGTTTTTGGACTGTGTGAGAGGAAGCCGGAGAACCCGGAGAGAACCCACGCTGCACGGGGAGAACATGGAGACTCCACGCAAACCGGCGACCTTCTTGCTGCGAGGCATCAGTGCTAACCAACTGCGCCACCCTGCAGCCCCTCAATTTTAACATGTTTGGTCAATTTGAAATCGTTGAGATGGATGGTAAGATAGTAATTAAAAATACCTTTGATCGAGGAAAAGCTAATCCCACCAACTCAATATAGCTTGCTTTTTTTTTTGAGCCCAAATATTATCCTTTTGAGTGCATTTTCTGACATTTCACAGACAAAAAAAATGAAACTCTCAAGGTTTAATGTAAGCTGGATGTAGCCATATGTTTTTTTTTCCTTCTCGACTGCAGCAGCAGACACACTATATGTACACAACAAGGGTTTGACATTATCCTATAATGCACAGGACACGAGGTCGGGTGTAGCCCATACAGGTTTGTATATTGACAGACAAACACATTCACTCTCACACCTACAGGCAGAGGCCACTTTGCCGAACCTGCTCCTCTGCTGACGACATGAAAACGTGCATAAAGAAAGGAGGGCGGTTCAAATAGTTGGATCTTCATGCTCTGAGGCGACGGTGCTAAAAACCTGGACAATGGCGCTTTTATGCCAGCTAAGTCTTTCTTTGAAAGCAGAAATGTTTTCCTGTTTGTGAACAGATGAGCTACTGTGACACAGCAGAGAACCGATACTTTGCCCCGAGGCCACTTCTGTACAATGACACAAGGCCCCGGGGTGATTTAATAATAAAACACGTATATTTATCAGATGAAATAAACAAACATTAAAATGTCCATAACTCGGGTTTTGTTGAAGTTAGTTTTGAAATAGACAGCTATGGGAGATTACTGAAGATTTACTATGTGAATAACCAAAAGAAATCCAAGAGTAAATCTATGTTCATTGTGGAATAAAACATGGATAACTGAGTATCACTGGAATAGAAAGTTTTAGTGTTACTTCTTAACTGTAGTTGTTTTCAGTTGTCATTGTATGAGACAAAAATGTAAATGACTTCACTTAAAAGGCACAAGCACAGTAGCATATAGGGACCATCAAAATGAATAAAAAATACAATTAAAATCATGCAGAAGGCAAAAAGTATCACAAAATGGAAAACTGGACTTCACTAACCCTAAAAAAATGGTTTGTGTCTTCCTGATGTCCAATTGCAACCCCATCCTTTGTGTCTTTTGGTGGCAAAAACCTCCTATTTTTCATTTATCAGCAATTAAATTTAATTTGTATTCACTGGATCTTGGTGTTTGTTGCTTGTCTCACATCACCTCTCGACACTTTGCTTGTGTTGCTGTTTATAGTTTGATTTATTTAGTTTCATTTTGTATGCAGTGTTTGTGTATCTCAGTATTTCACGCTGAGTAAATCTGTCTCTTTGTTTGGTATTTTGGTTTTATCTGGTGCCAGAATAAATCTCTGTCATCTAAGATTCTTTTGTTTTTTTTCCCGTGAGACACATATACAGTAAAAAGGTTTCAAGATTTTCCTTTAATTTGCCACTGCTCTGTATATATGACAAACTAAAGGAAAACCTTAAAACCTGTTGGCATATCCAGTGGCTCTGTCATGCTGCTGGGGGCTTCTGCTGCCATGGTTTGGGTCCACTTGTCCCTTCAGAGGAAACTGTCCAATCAATACAAAATTGCTCTGAGCGATCATCTCCACCCTGTAACAAAAACATTTCTACCCTGATAGGAGCAGTTTCTCAGGATGCCCCCATCTACAGGGCATGAGGGCTCACTGAAAGGTTTGATGAAATGAAAATGATATCAGTCAGATGTTATGTCCTTAACAGTCACAAGATCTCCACCAGAGTAAACACCCAGAAGAGATTTTGGACTGACATGTTAGATTGTGCTCTCCACTACCATCAGCAATTTTACCAAATGAGGGAATGTTTTTTGGAAGAACCTTGTTCCATCTCTATGAAACTTGGAGAATCTGAAACTGTACTGAAGCTGTTCTGGTGGCTCAAAATCTTACTAAGGCACAATCTATATCTACCTTTGTCTTTCTCTTTTGCACACTCAACATTAGTCCAGTTGTGCCATGAAAATAGCCATTTCAGAAGATTTAATGACTTCTAATAACATTATGTTCAACCAATAATTGACATTAATTGAGGAGAAATCTCTTTTTGCACTGCAATCAAATGTGTTTTCAATTGTTTAATGATTGGCAGCATGAACGTGAGTCTTTAAGCTGATTACTCATAAAAATTAAGTTGTTCCAACTAGTCTGTAAACATTTTTTTATATAAGGAATAGTCAATTGTTATGGACTTAATTAGGATTTCAAGTTACAAATTTAAAAAACTAAGTTTAGAAAGTTAAGTTAAGTAGATATAAAATCCTATGACTGACCTCATGGTGAAGAAAAACAAAGTTATCAAGCCACTTTCATTAAGTTACGTCAACTTAAACTTTGTTTTAAACTACATGTGAAACCAAAATAAAGTGTCTTCGTAAAGTGTTGGGCCAACCGGTAACCTGCAGACATTATTTTACTGGGTTGTGTTTGTTGCATCAACTTAGTGTTGTCTGGATTTTGAACTGAAATTTCTGCATTAGTTGAGTCAAAACTGAATTCAAGCTGAGATAATGAAACCGGCTTGATAACTTCATTTTTCTTCACCTCAACACAAGTCACTGAGTTTGAAAATGAGGAAAAGTGTTCAGTAGGTAGGAGAGGGGGCTTCACATCCTGATCTCAAGGTGAAAGATAATTAAGCTATCAAACCAATTTTATTACGTTACCTCAACTTGAATTCATCTTCAAGTCAACTCATACAAAGATTTGAGTTTAAACTACACACAATATGAAGCTGATGTAACTTAAGAGGTTTACCTAAATCAAAAAATTTGAACTTTTATCAATGCAAAAGGTTGGGAATACAAATACAAGCACAAAAACACAGCTTTCAATTGCAGAAACTCATATCAGTTGCGTCTTTCACTATCAAACCTGTCGAAAATCCCCACGTCGATTCTGACTAATGGGCGAAACATTCATCACGCCTCGTTAAAAGTCGACATCTAACCGTGGGACACAAACACAAATGGGTGTGAGAGAAGCGAGAAAGCGGCGCATCAACAGCTCAAACAGGAAAAGCCAAACATTTGCACTTTGATTTCTGGGGTGAATGCGTTTTTCTCTTGTGTGGTTACTGATTCATGGGCTCAATTAATGATTACAAAGCGGTCGATATGGGACTCCCACAGATCCTGCAGCAGTCGGTGAAGGACACAAAGAGTCTCCGTGCAGACTGACAGTAACTACAGTGTCGGTGACCTAATTAGGGTGTAGACTTTAGAGAAAGACTGACTTTAGAGGAAGCATGAAGGCCGACGTGAGACCGTGAGTCAAGAGAGTCAAACGCCACACAGAGAGAAAGACTCTCCAGACAAACACGAGTTCACTTGAGAGTCACAAAGCTGCACCACAAGCTTTTCCTGTTCACTCGCTCACGACTTTATCACACCTGTGGTCGCAGGTGAAAAATAACATGATCGTCGAACATGTGCTCTTGTAGCTTCAATTGGAGCCGCCAACAGTTCGACGGCTTTAAGAGGAAATAAAAGCAGACGAGCATCATCTGAATTAAAAACAGGAAGGTGGCGGGTTGGGCAATGAGTTCTGTTTCTTAAGAAGTAGAAATGTGACCGAGCCACATTCTGTTCTGCTTCCTCCGTCTACACACCTGCAGGGGGTTTGCAGACACACAACAGGTGGCTAAAGTATGTGGACACCAGAATGTAAGCGGCTCACTTCAGCCACTGCTCTGCCACTTTGAGGCTGCAGAGATTTACCCCCATTCAGGTCGTAAATGAGATCTTGATAAAGCCCGGCTCACAGTCACACAGTGTGTCTGAACAGATGGAGGTCAGAGGTGTGTTCAAGGAAACTGGGGAAAACCATTAGAAACAGAAAGGAGCCACTGTGGTCCAAAACAAACTGTACTTTTTTTTTTTTTTTGGCTTGTAGTCCCTCATAAAGCTGCAGTTTGCCACAGGCTGAATGTGTTTACAAGATGCCACCGGTTCAACCTGCACACCTTTCTCCTGTTTGGTCTGTTTTTCTGAGGCCAAAAGAATGAAACCATCCAAGCATTTCTGACAAAAAAAAGGCGAATAGTAAAAGAAAATCTGGAAGAAGACAGATTGAAAACATGTTTTTTTGCACAGAAAGAAAAGAAAGCAATGAAATATTTAACATGAGCCAGAGAAAGGGGAGAAACAAACACGAAACATTGCCACTAAGAAACGACAGGAAGCAATATGGTTGCCAGCAGTCTGATTCTGTTAAGATGTTATCGTGGGGTCGTGACACCAAAGTTGAGAAACACTGACTTCAAATAACAGTTGCATGCTCTATAGAGTTGAGCAAAACTTAAAATATTACTAAAATCTTGCTTGCTGCAATTTTTAGTTAAAAGCAAACATGTGTCCCAACATTGTAAATGAAGCTCTGTGGTGCAACGGAGACGCACCGGCCGACCAAACACATCCTACTCACACGTTAGGAAATCACTGTTTTAATGTTTTTCAGTGGAAAAGAAAATGCAAATGTGGTCATTTCTACAAAAGTTGTGACAATATTTGCCAAAATATTCTCAAAACCTGCATAACTGGAACCCACTGGCCTTGACAAACAACAAAAGTACACAAAAGTGTGTAAACTTATGGTCCTGTAGGCAAATTTAGGACACATCAGAGTAATGACACAAAATAGATTATTCATGTAAATTGACCTCATCTTATATTAAGGAGCACATTGCTAAAGCATGACAAGTCTACAGAGAGGCTTTTCTTACCCACTGAGTGGGTATAATTCTTGGATTCTCTGGATTTTTTATCCTAAATGTGACTTTTGTTTCACTCCATGTGCTTATTGGAATAATTAGCTTATGACAGCGACTCAACTCCAGTTTAGAAATATTTCACTTTCTTTGAACTACAAGAAGCAAACACATGTATTTTTACACTTCAGATAGTTTGATGAGCCTAAAAGATTCCGTTTTTGATTTATCACAGCTACAATAACCCCAAAGAACAAAATAACAGGATTGTTGAAGTGTTTGCATTAAAACAGTGTCACTGTCAAATGTCTTGTCACATGTTGCAACAAAAAAACTCACCAATTAGAAAAAGCAGAGCCAGAATCTTCGCCTGTCTCCCTTTTGACTCCATGTTTAGTCCAAAAAAAACAAAAAACAAAGTTGGTTTGAGACTACTTCCTTCTGTCCTGTTAATATATCGAGTCAGTCCTGTTTCATTCTCCACATCTGTATTCTGATCAGTAACAGCAGGTGCAGCAGGTGTTTCCTCTTCAGTTCACAAAAAAAAAAAATCAGAGTTTCAGAAAAAAAAAAAAAAAAAAGAATCTCTTCTGGAACCTTTATCCGCTGATAAAATAAAAAATATTGTTAAATAAAAGCTGCAAACTTCATTTCAGGTGAATATAAACGCAGAGACGTAAACCGTGTGGCTGATGTATGAGCTGATGGAACAAAAATAAAGTTGGTGTTGCACAAACAGAAACCTGCTCGTTTGTCACGCTCAGCAGCAAACCGCAGGTCTGAGCCGCAACACCTGTCTGCACAAGCCCCGCCCACTTTACCAGCAGGACACACCCACGCCGGGATGCGTTCAGGTGATGCGGAAGAGTCGGACATGTTGGAGTTTGATTTTTTTCCACCTAAACGGGATTAAAATCTGCTAAAATAGCTTCAGGAAAACACACTAAACGATGTGCGACAAGCAATTATACAAGATTTATTTATTTTTTATTAAATTTAATCAGACATGCTTCAGGGATGCAATCAGCAGATTGTTTTCTTAGCTGTATATGTGACTTTTTCTTGCAAATATAGGAATACCAGTCAAAAATAGGCATCACACTTTAACTGGAGCGATCCTCCAAAACCCAAATATACTCAGTTTATAATGATTAAAATAAAAAACTAAATCATAATAATAAATAGCCGATGCTTATGCTGGTGCTAATGGGGATCCTAATAAACAAGAAACAAGAATCACATTAGAGAAATTGAATTAGGAAAATATTTATTAACTTTGCTTGAAATTAAAATCAGTAGTTGTCAAGTCATGTTTTTGTTGATTGACTATTTATTGCAGCTACCACAACTCAGCTTTACACTCCTACAAAATTGTGTTGCGTGTACTCTATAGACGACACAATTTGAGAAAATGCAGAGGGACAAACAAAACAAAAAAAAGATAAAGAGAGAACATGCAATTTAAAATTAAATAACTTGAAATAACAGTGAAGATTATGTAACAACTCAATGCAGGAAAACAGGTTTACACAGTTAAAGGTCAAATGAGCTTTTCAAAATGATTCGGTCGACTGAAGTAGTTCGTAGGTTAATTGTTCTGCTGCTGTTTGAGCACCGTATGAGATCTAGGGCTTTGTTGAGTTGTGCAACTTTGAACTTTCTTTTAACTAAAAACATTATAATTACAAGATTACAAGAAAAATATGAGACTGAGTGTGCAGAGTTGTGTGCATTTCAATGAAACGGTCAAAATAACACAGTGCTGTCGTTTCATTGTTTAAACATTGTTGTAAGGTGATATGACAGCATTAGATAGGTGCTGTGTTTAATAATTCCTCCCCATAAACACCATACTTCATCATTTTAACTTTAAAACAGGATGGTGGGGATAAATACGTAACAAATTAAATATAGAACCCCACTGACATTTATCTTTTCTACATTTTTACTTCATTTCCACGTGCTCTCAAACACAAAACGTTGAATTTCCCAGGAGGACTTTAACGCAGCGCAGTTTCAATGGCACTGCCAACTTATTTCTGTTTATCCAAAATAACCTGAGTGTTCTCCAGAGAGTTCGGTCTGCTGTTGTTTCAGCCGCTTATCTGTTGACTTTAGCCTACGCTGGCCTGCAGCTAAAAGCCCAGACAGAAACAAGGCGGCTTCATTTACTTGGATTCACAGTAGCTGGATGACAGATGAATTTAGGGAGGCTTTTCTCCCCTGTTTGCCTCTGCTTACTCACCCACTCCATCTGGACTGTACCAGCATTGTATTTAATTGCTACCCTACTGAATAAAAAATGTATCTCTGAGGTGGCAGATTACCTGTTGTTCAAACTGAAGAGGTAACAAACACACACACAAAACATGTACTGCCTTGTCTTGGGACAAAAGTGATTCCTAAAAAGGTGTAGAAGTCTATAAAAACACATGTGAATTACTTTTAACTGCTGCTTTTGTTTCATAAGACAACACAGGTATGATGCAACCTTTGTGAGCTGAGGCCCGACTGTGTGTTCCTGGTGTCAGTGTGAAGAGCCTGAGGGAAAACTGTCTACATCTAGAGCGAGCAGCGAGCAGTGACGCTGTTTTGAATACAGTTCCAGTTATGTTTCTATGTAAATAGGCAGGTAAGACACCCAGAATGACTGTGACAGTGTGTGGTTGCCCTCTGCTGCTGCTGCTCTGCATCTCTGTGACGTGTTGCATTCACTGTCTGCACGCTCAGACTGAATACGCACTTTATCTCTGCTCTCTAATGTTAGTTTAGAGGATGCAAGATGATTTTTCAGCCGGAGCTGTTGGTATTTGTTGCTAAAAGGGCAAATAACAAGATGAAAATGCCAAACAAATACCTGCTGAGATGCTTTGAAATCTGACAAATGACCAAATAGGAGTCACAGAATAAACCTGATATTATTTTATTTTTATTTTTTTGAAGTGCCTTAACACATGAGCCATACCACTTCTGTCTGCTTATTACTTAACAACATTTTGGAAGACTTAAAGCTAGAATTTCTTCTAAAAATGAGCCATGTCAAAAATTAGAGAAACATTTTTAAACATGTTTTACTTCCCAAAAATCAGACGTTCCCCAAACAGAAATGGTTAAACTTGAATAACTTAAACTTTGCAGTTTTGGTTATTTCAATGGGATTACCAGCATCAAATATTTCAAATTAAAACTGAAATCAGATCAACCCTCTGAAGCTCAAATCCTGCCAACAGGTTTAAGATGCATGTTGTCTTTTTTCATTTTTTATTTATTAAAGCACCAAAAGCACAACAATTATCAGAACCAGAAACTGTAAAAGCTGTGAAGTATCGCTGCATCAGGAAAATGAACCAAATCCAAACTTAAAATCTTGATATTTGGTCAAAATCTAATTATTCTATTTGTCTCATTTTGAAAATATCTCCAACAGTACTGTTTTGGGAAAAAAACTAATAAATGAGGTGCTCAGTTGAACTGCAGGCAGTTTTTTTCACAGAGCAAATAGGAGAGAAGTATGTTAATAAACAACAAACATAAGAAGTCAGATATCTAAAGCATGTAGAGTTACTTCTGTACTGGTAACACCTGTAGGAAAATGTTCATGTTGATTTCAGATGTTATTTAATTTTTGCAAAATAAATAAAGTAATGCAAACTTGTTAAATTGCCACATTTAAGTTCTCTCTACTTCTAGAAAAGCAAAAAAAAAAAAAAAAGGAACAACAACAACACAAAAAAGACTGGCTGGAGTTCAGAAGGTTAACTTCTTCAAAACCCTGAAAGAAGATTCATGTAGAGCTGGTGTGATTAGCTAATTTTGACCTTTTAAATAATAAACTATTGGTTGCAGCGTTTCAGTTGTGAGAAATCTGCTTTGTGTCATCATGAGCTGAATCTATTTCGGGTTTTGACCTGTTAGATTTCACAAAAAGGCACTTCGAGACATCACCGGAGGCTTTAAGGAACAGTGATGCCTATTTTTTTTAACATTTGCTATCACCAAAGCCATGATCAGTTCATAAAAACAAGTAAAAAATAATTATTACTTGGAGTTTTTTTTTGTTTTTGTGAGAATAACATCTCCATGCGTAATGTGAAATTAAAACGCAATTTAAGTCTAAAATAAAAAAGGGGAACCCATGAACAGAGACACACAAAAAATAACTAACTTCTGTTTTCTAGTAAGTTCAGTAAAACCAGCTGGGAACAAAGTGACAAGCAGCAAAACCTCACTGACACAGGCTTTATTAGTAAAGTGTTAAATATTAATTTAGTCGTTTTAACATTTCATGCATGCACAACAAAAGCGTTAGAAACAAAAGAGGCTTTTTTTTTTACAAAGAAAAGGTAGAAAATGTGTGCCTCAACACAACATAAGCTTTGTCGAAGCTCAGCGTCCTCATTGCACCGAATGTGTTCTGCGTCAGACGATGGGCTTTTTCTCCATTTTGATGGTCTCATAGGTGTCAGTGGTGTTGAAGGCCAAACCCTGCAGGACACGAAACACTCAGAGAACATACTGACACGCAGCAAGACTTGGTGTGAAAAGTTTAAAACAACACGGTGATCATTTCCTGTACTGAGTGTGAGTGTGATTTTTTGTGACAACCAAAATAACAAAACAAAAAAAAAAAAAGTCCTTTACCATCCGCCGTCACTGTCTGTCCCACATGAGCCTTTTTAAAAGTCTTTTTAAGCATTAGAATGAGATGTCTCACCGCATAGATGCCTCCCTCAGCGGGTTGCTTCTGTGGGATGGAAACAAACACATCAAGAGTTCATTTAGCAACTTTTATTTCTTAACAGACGCAGTTTGAAATATCTGCATCCTCCTTTGAGTCCTGGAAGACACACATGAGCAGATTGACTTATGTGAGCTTTTAAAATCAATCTAAAGTCGCATGAAAACAATTCGAAGCTTGTTTTTTTTTTCTTTCTTCAGGGTGTGAAGTAACGCTGATGGAAACTGTGAGTGTGAAATGTAAAAATAATGTAGGTCGGTGGTCAGCTCGAGCTTTCAGGAAATGATAGAATGTGGTTTGTCTTAAAGCAGAACTGCAGCATTTGACAAGACAAAGAATTACACTTTTAATAAGTGTCTTAAATGGGTTTTTTTGTTTTTTAATCCACAATAAGACAGATAATTAATTTTACCTTGGGGCAATTTTCGAGCGCATAGGTGGTCGGTTGAATCTGTGGAAAATAAAGCAGGGAGCTCACATGATTGGGTGATTCACATATTATTTATCATGAGGTGTAAATTAGACACAAAGAGAGGAAAAAAAGCACTGAAATATTCAAGGAAATACGAAGTTTGCTTCTAAAATTGGCACATTTTTGAAAAGAAGTTGATGGTGACACAGCAAACAAGGAACTAAAGAGTCAAATTTGTTCAACTAGAGGAAGTTGTGTGTCATTTATGGTGAAATAATCAACATTTTAGAGCATTTTGTGACTTTTCACGCCAACATCTGAAGCAATTTCAAACAAAAGTCCAAAAAATCTTGCATTTAATTGCATTTTTGTCACTGCGCAGCACTTCTCAGACCGTCACACAACCATAAAAAACACTTCTTAACATGAATCATGGTGTGTTTGTCTCGTCTTACCCTCAGTCTGCAGTACAGGACGGTGAGAATGATGCCGTACAGGATGAGAATCCCGTCCAGGATGAAGCAAACATTCATGTTTCCCAGGAAATCTGAACACACACAAGTCACATCATCTTCACCGCTCATCGTCACCCTCAAACAGAACAACTGAGATCTTCAAGTGCCCGAGATTTAACTTTCAGAGCCACAGGTAGCTTCAAAGGAATCTTAATCTTTACCATCGAATGTGATCATCAGAAAGATCGGAAGGAGCTTTTTTGTTTTGGTTTCTTTTACCGGGCGGGCTGAAGATGAGACGAGGACGATCTGCTGCTCTTTCGTCGGCGGCGAAAAAAGTCCTCTGAGTTGAAGCAGGAAGCCGGCGGCTCTCTGTCCGTTCTGAAGCTGTGAAAACCACACGCCTACCACACTGCCATCCTCCCTTCTCAGAAGTTCCTCTTAAAACTCTTCAGAAAAACAATCCTCATCTCTTTGCTGTAAAATTGCTCCAATCCATTTTACACTGTATTTCAAAGGCATTATTTAGAAGAGGAAGCATTACACAGGAAAAAGAAAACCACTAAATATCAACGACAAAGTGACAAAGACCTGTAAGGAATAAATGGTTTAATAATGGAAAAAATGCCTAACACACTATACAAGCTACAGTTACCAAAAAGAAAGAAAAATACAACACAAATCTACAAATTTTGTTGTTGTTGTTGTTGTTTTTTTACAAGCCACTTGTTTTCAAAAGTAAAAACATTCGGAGAAATTGCATCATCATCATCATAACTTAGGCACCTTAAAAAAATTATAGAAAACAAGTTGATATAAAAAAGTTTTGGAGCCCAAAATAACTCTATGCATGCATTTTTTAGAAAAACAAACAAACCAAAAACAAACATCTGCATTTTGATCACTCAGATGAAATACGTCGGACCTGGTTTTTTTTGGATACTTCTCAGAAAGGGCCTTTTGTTTTTTTTTTGTAGGTTTGAAACCATATTTGGAAAGAAACAGTCGGTCGTGTTGTGGCTCAGCGAACTGTACAAACGGAGCAGCTCAGGTCAGGACCTGCGGAGAGAAAAAGTGTGCAGCTCCTCCACGACTGGAGAAATAAGGCCGAGTGAAGGGTCGGTTCGGCTGGTGGCACAAGGCGAGGCGGTGAGAAGCTACAGCTGCAGAGACGGCTTACAATCACACGTCTGGTTTGGGATTCTTGTAGATGTGCATACGAAAGAATAAAAGTGTAAAAAAATAATAATAATAATGAAAAGCAGCAGCTCATAGTTAAACTACAGCTGCTGGATCAGTGACTGAGTTCCTTCTGCGGACGTTGAACACATTTACACCTGGTATTAACACCTGCATGTTATTTAGATTACAGCCCTTTTTCTGCCTTAATTAGTGGTATTATCTCAGGTTTGCAGCATCCAATAAAAAAACATGTTGGCATGTTTTTAACAAATTTTAGACAGATTGTTGTAGGTAGAAAACAAACCCATTAAAGTTAGTTTAAAAAGTCGTCGTCACAAAGCTGAAAACAGAACACGGCTTCCGTCATAGCGTGCAAAATAAATTAGGGAAGCAGGGATGACGGAAAGCTTGCACGGAGGAAAGTGATGCTGCTGTAAACATTCTCATTTTGTTTGACCAAAAACAAACAGTTGCAGCTCAACCACGTCTCATGGCCTTCATCAACAAATAGAGCTGCTTCTGTTTTCTACCACCTTTATATGAAGCAGTGGTAGTCTTTCTTATTGATTTATTATTCTATAAAATGTTAGAAAATGGTGAAAAATGTGCCTCCCTCAGTTCAAAGTGGCATCTTCAAATGTCTTGTTCTGTTCAGCGTAGGAAACAATTAGCAGAAGCTGAACAATCCGACGTCTTCTTTAAGGCCCACACATCACCGTAGGCGTGGAACTGTGCGACCATTAAATTAAAATGTCGAGTTCGTGTGCAGGAACTCAACAGAGCACTTCTGGTTTTATCAAGTGTCAGAATCAAGATGATAACTGAGCAGCTCCTCCCCGAACAGAAGCCATGAAACGTGGCACAAACTAAAAGTAGCTTGACCTTTTTTTTTAAGGTTGTTTTTTGCACATCAGGCTGCAGATAGTTTGTAGCTTTAACCTGATATTTACAACATTTAATATTTCAACATGCAAAGCAAATAGTTTTTCCTACAAATGTTTAAAAAAAACTGTACAGATTGCATTTAGTCTTTGCTTACATTGTCAACTTGGAGCTTAAAAAGACCAAAACCAACAACTGAACGGATTCTTTTAACACATTTTGCTGTGTATTGAGAGCCTAATGTATGTTGTACTTCAAAAACTATTGACCACTGCACCACCGAGCTGCACTGCTGCACGAACAGACTTTTTTTTTTTTTTATTACCGCAAACACAAACTAGTTTATTCCGGCTTAAACCCACAAACATCATCCTGCTGCCTAAAATACGCCAGCAGTCACCAGCTGTAAATAGCCGCTAGAAAATGGACTTCTTGCTTGTGTTTGAGCAGAATTAGTTAGAAACTACAGACTACAAGTGTTTTATGAAATTGTTAGGCCTCTTTAAAAACTAAATCATGTAAATGTGAGCTTCAGTTGTTGTCTTTTTGATGGATAAGAAAGATTTAACTTAAATATTATCATCTTTATCCGAATAAAATACAGAATTTATGTTAATACCAGGGGAAATGTGTGTTTTTTTGTTTTTTTTCTTCCTGCTAAAACTGTAAGAGTAAAAAATGCCAGTGTGGAATAACTAAAGCTGCATATTTAAACAATCGTGAACACACAGAGTTTGGAGTAGCAACAAGTGAGGAATGTACTTCCATTTTTCTTAACAGTCACATTAAAAAAAAACACATTTTGGCTCTTTAGGCCGCAGAGAAGCAACACGTTAACTCGCTGCACGTAATGCTACATTCTGTAAGTTACAAAAAAAACGATAAAAAGTCACTCCTCTAATGTAAAAACCAGCCAAACGCAACAACACCCTGACAGGGAACCAGAAGGCAGTGGTGAGAGCCGAGCTCTAGTTGTTTTTTTTTTAAGACACGAGAAAGAGGAAGCGACAAATGTGATGTAATCCCTCTCCTCTGGTGTTGGTGTGTTGAGTCAGCACAGTAAAGTAGTCCAGTGGTTACAGCAGAAGAAGAGGCAAATGGGGAAAAAAGGCCCCTTTAGATCAAACAAACAAACAAAAAAGGAATCTTTACAGCGTGTTGTAAAGGCTAAACAACACAAACAGAACAAGGTCAAGGCATCCGTTTGTTTCCAGGGTTTGGACAATCATTGAGCTGATCACAGTTTGATATCAGAGCATCTGTGATGACCAGGAGGCGGCGCCCATCTCCTCCAAGGGTTTCATTGTCACAGAGAGAGGAAATGATTGGACGAGAACGGACGAGGAAAACGAAACGGGACGCCTTTCACACCGACGTCTCCGACTGCAGCCGCATCACGAACTTGTGGCTCTTCGGGTCGATGAACTCCTCCCCGAGCCGCAGGAAGGGCAGCGGCGTCACCGTGACGACCAGGGAGAAGTCCAGGCGGCGCAGCGAGAAGACGAGACCCTGGCGGAGCGCCGAGGTCACCGGCTCCTCGCTCACCAGAGTCCACTGGCGCCCCCTGCCGCTCTGCTGCTGGTACTGCATGGTGGGTCCGGGGCCCAGGTACCGCTCCAGGAACGCCTGGGAGCGAACAAGACGGGGTTAAAGCATCGGCTCACAGCTACACAGTCACCTCTAAAAACCTGAGACAACCTGGTTTGTGTTGGTTGGAATAACTGGACATGTTCTAAAAATTTAAAAAAAGTTTAAAAAAATACAATATTAACACTTAAAAAGAAAAATTCTGCAAATATGCTGTTTGGTTAACGTCAGCCAGTGATGCTGATGTTGTACAGTCTTATTGCAGTTAGGAGGAATGACCTGCGGTAGCAGCTCCTTCTTGCAGAAACGTAAAAATCAACGTAAAAATAACATTCCCCCCACATACTTTCTATATTACAGCTGTTTCAAAGCCTTTTCTACACTTGTGTAAATATGATTCTGGTGTAGAAACTGCTTCTGTTTAATTTTATTGCCGTGCTCGGCTTCAAAGTGGTCACATTTTCGGATCAGTTAATCTACTGGGTTTACTGGAGGCCAGTGGGTCACGCTCACCTTGGGCGTCATGTTGTGTGTGATGCAGAACTGCAGGTGTGTGAGGATGCTCTCCATGCTGTGGAAGGCCTGCTGCCTGGTGGTCCGCAGGTATTTCTGCATGGCCCGGGCCATCGGGGCGAAGATGGCCTGAGCCGCCTCCCGAGGATCCATCACCTCTCTGGGGTGTTTAGGAGACGAAGCCACCTCGTCCTCGTGGAGACGCTTGATGTGCGTGAAGGCTTCTTCCACCGCCACGACCAGCCTTTGGGGCAACAAACAGAGCAGAATAACATCAAATAATGGAAACAAAGGTTAATGAAACAAGTTATTCTCATGGTCAGTTTGCGACTAAAGAGAAATCAGAAGCTGATCGCATCTACAGCTAGTCAAAGGTCAACGTTTGTTTTGTTTAACAAGCCAACATCTGACGTGATAAAACATGTTGTGGATCTGTCAGATGCTAAAACTCCCAAAGTAATGGAAGCAGATGAAAATCACTACCAGACACTTGGACTCCTGTCAGAATTCAGGTTTCTGCATAACTTTGAAAGGGCACAAATGATTGTTTCCAGCCAGTTTTTGTTTGTCAGATCAAACTGACTCACTGAAGGTAAATAAACACTGAAGCTTCTGATCTACATGAAGAACAATAATCTCGGTTTGCCTTTTTAAATATACATTCGCTGTTGAAACCAAACGTAAACTATCTATGATGTGGATGATTTTTTTAGAGTTTTTTTTTTGCTGCATTTTTATGCCTCTATTTCACAGCGACGCTAGAGGGAGATAGAAAATGTAGGAAAGAGAGCAGAAGAATTAAGACCAGTTAATCCTTTCATGTACCCGTGAGGTTCAGGTAAAATACTGTCTTTGCAAAAAAATATGAGAACAGTTCTGTTTTCAGGATTCACTCCTCTGACACTCATACAGTCATTGCTGCAGATTTGACGACACCAAAGGTTAATACAAACTAAAAATTCCCTGTAGATATGAACGTAAATTATTTTAACCATAAGTACTTGTGAGTGACTGTAGCGCGCAATGCAACGTGTGCACATGAGTGATTTTAAGATTTTACTGTATGTACAATTTTAAAAAGTACAATAAAAATGTTAGAAATGGATCCACAATGGTGTGCATGCTGGAAATCATCTCCTCAAATCCTGCAGCAGCCCAAAATGTACGACTGTGTGGACTTTCTACACTGTAGCATGCAGACGCACCAGGAAAACATCTGTCCACTATCTATACACCGCTTAATCCTCACTAGGGTCGCGGGAAGGCTGGAGCCTTTCACAGGGCTACACAACCAAGCACACTCACATTCACACCTACGCACAATTTTAGAATCACCAATTAACCTCAGTATGTTTTTGGACCTTGTGGGAGGAAGCCGGAGAACCCGGAGAGAACCCACGCTGCACGGGGAGAACATGGAGACTCCA